GATTTTGTGGCTAACTGATTTTGATGTTATTGTGAGGATGGTTGAAGTGTACGCGAGGACCGGCCTTATGAAGGCTTTGTATGTGTGTAGGAGAGTGGTGACGGAGCATCCGCCAAGGGATGTTCGTAAGTTGGAGATGAGATTTATACGATGTCTTGCTGTTTTGACTGCCTTTGATATTGAAGGACGTGGGTTCATGGTGTGGGAGAGATTAATCCCCAAGTAAGTAATTAGTTTTGTTTGTGGAACTATTGAATTCCATAATTGGATGGTAAGTGGGGTTGAGCAGAATTTTTTAACCGTGTGGTGACGAAAGCCTATCAGTTGGGATTTAAGAGGGTTCGGTTTTATCCTCCACTTCCTCATCCAGTCTTCAAGCTGGGTGCTTGCGTCTTGGAGTGCGGAAATTGCTGTTTCGGCGATGGCGTAAGACGCCCAGATGACGGTGTCATCAGCGTATTGCTGGACGTGGCAGTATTTTTTGAGGCTAGTGGGAATGTCATGGCAGTATATATTAAATAAAATGGGAGATAGAATGGCTCCTTGAGGGACCCCTGCTCCTATTTCAAAAGTGTTAGAAAGAGAGTTCCCAATTTTGACTGCTGCGGTTCTGTTTTTGAGGTAATTATGAATTATTTTGATTATGTGTGGAGGGAAATTGAGTGAAATTAGTTTTTTGATCAGTCCGCTGTGCCAGACCGTATCAAATGCTCTGTGTATGTCCAGGAAAAGTGTAGGGGAGAAGTGTTTTGAATTGCTGGCATTTGTGACGTGTGTAATAAAATTGAGGATTGCGTGTGGATGTGTTTTTGGTGAAGCCATATTGGTGGTTGGGAATGATGTTATTTGAGGAGCAGTGGAGGAGGACTCTTTTCTTTATTGACTTTTCCAGCAATTTACCCATTACTGGAAGGAGGGAGATGGGACGGTAGGAGGAAGGGTTCTTCGAATCCTTTCCCGGTTTTGCTATCATCCTGACGATTCCATGTTTCCATTGCACAGGAACATGACCAAGTGATAAGCACGCGTTGAAAATCTCCGTCACCCACTCGAGGGTTGGTTCAGGAAGCCTCTTTACCACCATCCATGAGATGCAGTCGTTACCCGGAGCAGAGTTCTTCTTGTGTTCAACTAAGTTCTCCTGTACTTCCTCCAAGGAGATGGGATCAGGGATAGGGTGGAGTTCGTTAACAAGGTTGATAGATTTTATTTCAGTATTGATTTTTAAGAAGAAGCGATCATCAAAGAGAGGATCATCAAGACGGCTTGCAGATTGAAGAACCTCCGAGAACATCTCCGCCTTCTCGCTGTCGAGTATTGGCACTGGGTCTCCTTCGAGAGGATATTCTTGAGGAGGGCGTCGATTGGTAAGGCGGTTGAACTGCTTCCAAAACATCCCCCCGTTTCGGTAGTCCAGCTCCGCGGTGACGGTGATCCACTGCCGCTCCCTGTGTGCTCGAACCTTGAGCCGAGTAATTGCTACCAGTCGATTCCAGGCTGTGCGAATCTGGGGATCGTTATATTT